TACAATGAGCCATTATGGTTCGATTATTTTGTAAAACGTTATGGTGATCATATACTGTAGTGTAATCTGGAAGATATGGATATAATCTTCCTACGCTGTCAATCTCTGCAAGATTCTCTGAGAGGTGAGATTGGATTGGAATTTGAAAATCCTTAGAGATGTCTCCAAGAGATTTCAAAAGGTCAGGTGTGCAACTAAGTACAGACCGTGGTGTTATTATTGGTGTAATAAGACTAGACTCGAGGCTCTGAATGTATTTCACAAATTGCACTGTGTCTCTAACACTTGATTCCATTGTTTCAACATAATCATGGGGATTATTACGATCCATATTCACTTTACCGATGAACCCTCTTTGACCTTTTTGTTGAACTACATCGGCTAAATATTTGCTAGACTCTAGATGAATAGTTGCATAGTAGACTGCAGTGGTTGTACCACAACGCAATAATTGATTAACAACAATTGGATATATTTTCTTGGCAAATTCAATTGATGAGAATTTTTTTTCCAGAGGATAAGTATACTTGTTAAGCCAATCAAGCAAAGGTAAGTCCATACCAGTGCCCGCATTTGGATATTGTGGAGCATGCTATGAAAAAAAGGACGATCAACGAGTGAAAATATAGCAAAGGAATAATATATCTGAAACAACAGTCATTGAAAATCAATTACCATATGAGTATCTACAAAGCCGGGTAATAAGAATTGTCGTTTGGATAAACGAACAATCTTTTAGTAAAATCAGATAAAATTAAATCATGTAATTTAAAAAAAAAAAATCATAATTATTGCATTATTTTATACACCTTACTTTATCTTTGGTAGATCCCCATCTCTTTATAATATCGCATAAAGTTTGCTCGTTTGAAACATTAGGTTCTAAGAAGGCAATTTTGCCACAATTGTCGACGCCCAAAACCGCATTGAAAATAATTTTAAGTTCAGTTAAAGACAGTGAATGTATCAAGGTGCCATAAAAAATTTGAGAAATATATGAAGAAAGATTCCATTGTTTCTTATTAACAGTCCCGGGAACGATGCGTGAACCCTCAGCAAACCCTTTTTCTTGATCTGCGGTTGCATATAAGGTTTGCTCTTTTATAGAAATAGCTACAGGAGATGAACCATTTTGCGACTCGATTCTGAATTTTTGTTCCATTTTATCTTCAATGTATGGTTCTAAAGTGAAGTATGTTTCAATGGGAACGTATGTCACGGCATGCGATCTACCTTCTTTTTGGCTAACAATACTATAAGTATTATCATTGCCCTTTATTATCATCCAAACCTGAGTATTGCTTGTGGTTGGACTCATAAGGTAGATGAAATTACCCTCGTTCACTGTCCAATAAAGGGATGTATC